GAGAGAGAGAGAGAGGAGTCCATATTTTTCGATATAATCTTGTCTTTACCAACTTGAAAATGCAATACCGTATCAAAATCGCTACCTCGCTGAGATTGTTAACATTACCTTTTACTCTTCAGGCATTATCAAGAATCTGATGACATGATAGATTGTCATCTAAGTCCACCTTCGACCACCTCGAGATTAAGTGACTCCGACACCTCGGAGTGCGATATTACGGATTGCGACGTGTCGAGAGAACAAAGAAGAACGGCTGACGGTGCCAGCATAAGCAGTATCGGCAGTTCGTCTAGGTAAGATAATCTTTTAAGATCTTCGTGATATATCTCTCGGCCCGACGAAAGAGAGTATATCTCTTAAAATTTCCGGAGGAGATCGGTCAACTTAACTAACTTAGGGTATCTGCACTGAATACGGATGTCTGCGTACGTTCATCGTATGTAAATCGAAACATGTACTCACAAAATCACAAGATACTCTCAGATCATAGCGTATTAAGTTAAATTAATACTTTGTATATTAAAAATGGACTATTATTGAAGGCTAGATAATATGACAATTATCCGAAAGTATTATAATTAGCATATTTGATCAATGGATATTTTAAGACAAAATTACTATCTTTGATTTAAGATTTAGTCTACATATAGATATCTGTCTACTGTTATTATGCTTGCGTAACAGCTATTTTCATGTTCCTGTATCGCGATTTTAATTACACAGAGAGAGACAATATTTTGATATATAATACAAAGTTTTTGCTCACGAAAATTTCTCCCATCAGAATTTTTAAAATCAAATTGATTCTATCTACGCGATTAGAATGAATTTCTTGGGATAAATAATTTTTGATAAAGGAATTTTTATTAATTTTTTTTACGAAATTGTGATTTTTTTTATTATTTACTTTGTAAAATAGAATTGTTTTTTCAGAATTTAAGAGTAATAATTTTTGTGGAGATTTGGAAGTGACTGTGATAATAAAATCTGATTTCTTTTTTGCGCAACTGAAACGTAAGCCAAACGTAGAGGAAAAATAGAGATAAGTACGAATAGACAAAATAAGTGATTGCAAACGGAAGTTTGAAAAAAAGACAAGATTTGAATGGGGAGGGGGCAATCGAGAGAAAGAGAGAGGGCAAAAGCCAAGATTATAAACTGGGCAACAAGCCAATTGACATAGCAGTTGGCCCGCGACCATCGCTAGCTCCGGAAGTCAACTTTAAACTCGTATTCATATTAATATTCCGACAATGATGTCCGATCGTTATTTGTGAGTACAGAATGATTTTTGTTAAAACTTTTAAGCCTTTACTTCTGCAAATGGAAGAAATGTGATGGTGCACATCAAAGAGAATAGGGACCAAAAGATTACTACCTAAAGTGTTAATTATTCATGATAATGAACCCATTTAAAATCATGCAGCTACTAAATTAATCGATTTTATAGAGGAAACTTAAATATATCTTGTAGCAATAAATTCTTCAATTATGAAAATTAAAAATTTGTGTAACTTTCATCAATACATTCAATTATTAACGACGTATTAACAATGAAATTTATAGTGTATAAAATTTGTGATGCGCATATACACGTAATTTTTTATTTAATATTTAATATTTATTTAATACTTGCAAGTAAACTTTTTGAAATTGCTCCGCGATTTATTCTCGTTTCAAAGATAGGTTGCCCATAAATTTTTTCGTTGATATATGCGGCAAATTGCATCAATGTAGCGGATTGAATGAACACATAGACTATCCTCGATAGGCTTGGCAGGTAGAATGGCAGGTAGAGATGGGGATAAGCTGAGATATTATCCGGCATCGCTCTGCACTTGTTTTATACCGAACAGCTTCGATCTGCAAAGTAAACGCGTTTGTTCCTAAGCGCGCATTAGTCTGTAAAAGCTTTCTCCGAATAATTGAAACATTCCAATCAGTTTCTATAAGATTCTCTGCATATATTTAAACAATCTTTCGTATCGTTTAATGAGATTATTCTTTCGTACGCGAAAAGTTTTCGTAGGTTACATTAATATATCCATCGTCGCCGAAGCGAGTCAGCGACAATAATCCAATGGACGTATGCGTCTTAATAAAATATTATAATTCAACGCGAACATTTAGATTATTATATTTAAATACAAAGTAACTGTTTTACTTGACATATACGTAGTAAGAATCAATTGTAAAAATTTTAGATCCAAAATATTGTACTATTATATTATTTTTCTTCGCGCTTTTGAGATTCTACAAACATTGCTGGAATATATAAGATATTAAATAACTATAGATCTATAGTGGAACGCATTTTTGCTAAACTTAAATTGATACACGTTAATGCGGATAAAAAGTTTTAAGTTAAAGTACATTTTGCGGAGAGATAAGAAACATTAGACAATGACGCGTCGGCCGCGGCCGCGCCACCGCCCACTAATTTTGATTTTAATCGTGTGCTTTGTGATTTATTTTTTAGGTTTCATAATATGCCGTCAAATTATAAGCGGTACGGCCATTACAATTTATATCTTCTCCTCTTTCACGAATCACGCAGTCACACGTCTTGCATCCTCACTGCTAGGTTCTAATGTGTTGCGCGTAGATCAATCAGTTAGTCATGCCAATAAAATCGAAGATGTAATAAAGACGAGACAACGGGACGTGTACTGACGTGATCACCTAGCTAATTTAATTTAAGAACGGATAACAAAGGCATGAGAAACCTTTATTTGACAAGAATATTACTTTCAAGGGTGGATGGGTGGGAGGGAGAAAAGAAATGGTTTTTCCTTCTTTTTTTTCGGCGAAAGAAAAAAAACAATGACGGACGTCGCCGGTAACGAGAAATACTGCTATTGGCATCAACCGCAAATCTCTAATGTCGTTTATAGTTTTTCCATGCGCGATACGGTCGTACACGCAAGTCGGTGGATATTGCAATGCACAACGTTACAAAATTTTCGGGGCAATTTTTATCCTTTGTCTTCGTTCTTCGTCAGGGCGCAAAAACATACGCGAATTGAATAACAAAACGTTAAATGCGGATATTTAGCGAGTCGCCATTCATGTAGGCACTTTAGACGTCATGCTGTCATTGCTTCTTGCATATACGCATATTATATACGTTAATTCCTAGACGCGACGAGACATGGCTTCTAGAATGCTTAGTGCATTGCAGTGCATCGGCCGGGGTGGACTGAATTTTCTTTCAAAACTTTGACTACGGTCTGTCCAATTTTCGAATTTCTGCCTTCTGTCTATCGACACGTTACTTTTCGTTGCCAAAAAAGATGAAGATTATTCTAGGTCTTTTGTATCTTACACTTCTCGCGCGGTCGTTCTTTTCGACGTGCAATACTTACACAAACTTGGCACTCATCGAACGCACTTATACGGCATATTCTAATTTATGGCGAGTCACTCTTTTTTTATCGCGCGTACTCTCATTTTTGGCAACGAAAGCTCCGCGATTGAGAACACTGAAGAAAACGCTCGACTGCATTGCCGAGTAACTTGGGGCTGCTGCGCGCCAAATTAAAAGATATGCACTTGCAATTTGCGAGGAGTCGAATCGAGTTCACGTTTTAAATCTTATGCATTAAAGTGTAACAAAATTCGAGAGATATCAATGATTGAGGAAGTTTTGTGGATTATAAAATTTCTCCTTCGACATTTTGATTTCGTCCTCGATGTCGCCGTAAATCATTTTTGCTCCTAGCGTTCTGAACATTTTCTTTTCTGTTTCCTCACCATCCTGGCCGCATGCATTTTGAGATTAGCGCGAGATCACAGCACTCGCCCCATTTATATTGTAAGGCACGCAGCATTCACTGATTGATAAAAAAAAAAATGAACGCATGCTGGAGCAGCCACTATTCTAGCCCGCCGCCGGAAAGGGAGCTCTGTGTCGATGGCGAGCATCGGAGTCGAAGAGATATGTCGCCTCAGGGACGCAAAAGGGCAGCCCTAATGTCTCGTGACCAGCCTGCTTCTATCTCGAGTTATCAGACCTATCGTAAGGTAAATGTCCGAGAACGCTTGGTTTTAATTTTGAACTGAACAATAATCATAATGGTACTTAAAATTGATTTAGAAGTTATGAGAGAAAGAAACGGAGAAAGAAAGCGTTCGAGTTTTGATTCCAACTTTTAATTAAGAGAGAAAATGGCTTGTGAAAGTTAATCAATTATATGAACATAAAAAAATATGAACATAAAAAATGAAAAAAAATTATAAATATTTATTATTTACATAAGATATCGGTGTATATGTTATTAAATAATGTTTATTAAGAAGCGTTCTTGTACATTATTAAATATCGTGTCCTAGGACGAGATCCACCGGGGAATGATGGGTCATAGGTCGCACAGCGCGGCACCTATGGACTCTCCAAGTGTCAGATACCGAGGGAGGTCTCAAAGTCCCACCGGTCATCGTTCCTTGTCTCCACCCGAGCATAGATCCATTCCCTACTCGCACGGATACGTTCATACGACGAGGTATGAAATATCGCAGGAAAACACTTTTTGGCATTATCTAGATTACAACTAGAAACTAGAAACGTAGATTTACCGTTGCTCTGATTTAGATTCGGCTCGAGATCGGCGACCGCCACACCTACTGGATCGCCGAAGAAACGTCAGCTACCTCAAATCCCGGCAGCCTTGAAGGAAAGAGTAGCGCAAGATTTCGAGGAACGGGCAAGATTTATGAGGCATCGCAACAGCAGGCAGTCGATATACAGGAGCACAGGTATGGGAGGTAAGTTTCTCAACGATTCTGTCAGAAAAATTAAAGAATGGAAATAAATATTTCAACTGATAACAACGGATATATATAACTTATCCTTTTAATAAATAAACCACATGTAATACATATATATTTTTTAATTTTTAGTTTTTTTATATATATATTATTATATTTTAAATAATTGATTATATTTTATTCTCAGGATGGGAAAGGCATTACAGCGGCCTTTCGGATTCGGATCTTCCTTCAATCGGACACGATCCACTAACGTTGCCACACAGTCACGCTCACAGAATGCACAGGCCGAGGAGGGGGCACTTAAGTCCTGACAAAGACGTACTCGGCGATCTTGGAGATTCTGACATGGAGAGCATAGCTTCGGTAACGAGCAGTGCCTTTAGTACACAATCGGAACGACCACGTGGATCGAGAACACTAATGTGAGTATAGTTTCATAATTAATTTCCGTTATTTTACCATACGGACAACCTCACGTTGCGGCAATCAATGTGCAAAGCAACGCAGATATAAGAGAATATCCCGGTTAGGATGGAGGATTTGAGCATCGAGTGTGCTGTCTCGAATACATTATCGCTGCAACATTAGAACGCATTGTTATACGTTTGAACTTTGACATTATGATACATTAAAATTGATAAATCTGAAAAAAAGTGGCACTCTCATCAGCTCAACCCTTCTGAATTAAGGAGAATCCCTGGATTAAATGGACATTGTCAACTAAATGGATATCCTGTAGTTGCACATTTCACATCCTGCTTGTGTGCGTGTCAGTCTTCCGATGCCCTCCTCGCCTTCTTTACGAAGCGATTAGACTGCACTTCCTATGCACCGTGTCAATGTCCATTTAATTAGTGTCCCATTCTAAGAAAGCAGGGATCAGTGCGTGGCGTTGGTCGAACGGTTAGGTAGTTGTGTCTCGACGCGTCATAGAAAAGAAAAAGCATTGCGAAGTACATCGATCGCCGCGTTGCCTCTTCTGAAATGCCGACCCGTTGTTCTCGGCGAATCGACAGAGTCGAATTCTGAGATATTAATGACCGATATGCGTTCGATCGATCGCGAACACGCGGTTAAATAGAAAAAAAAAAAAGAGAAAAAAGAAATCAAAAAAGAAAAAGAAAAAGAAAAGAAA